ATACCATAAAATTTTCATCGTTGTTTATATAAATTTATTACTCTATGGAAAAGAATAAGAAAAATAAAGAAACGCGAATATTCCCCCTCCCCTTCACCTGTTTGACGTCATTTACGAAGAAATTCCCCGTCAAATAATGCGTTTCATGTTGTTTATTTAAATACTCTATGAATTTTTTTTTAAATATATAAATACATGAGGCGTCGAAAAGAACTAAATTTATTATTATTATTATTATTGTCATCATTACAGGAGTGTAACCGTCGCACGCGTTTATTTAAAAAAATTATTATTAAATAATTGAAAACGGTTATGACGTTAATAAATAAATAAAAATAAATAAATAAAAATAAATATCCATTTTTTTATAACCGCGGAGTATCGAATGATACGCGTAATTTATCCATAGAGTATATAAATTAATAATATCAATCGTTACATAAAAAAAATTCAATTTATTTATTTACAACGAAAAGTAATTATTATTATTATTATTTTGGTAAGTATAAATTTTAATAAAGACGTTTTTTTATTAAAAAAAAATATGCGTTGACTTATTTAAATTACCAATAAGTCGTAAAAAAAAAAAAAATTGCAAGAAAAAAATTTTTTTTTTTTTTTTTTAAATGAAGATATAAATATAAAAATATATTGACCATTAACGTTATTTATAACCCTTTTTTTTTAATATTATAATAGTATTATTATTACTACTACTACTACTAATAATAATAATAATAACAACAACAACAACAACGACTACAATTTTATATATATATATAATTTTTTTTTTCCGTAGAGTATAAACGATAAATTTAAATGGTATTTTAACTCTTATTATTATTATTATTATTATTTATATTTTAATAACAGTGTATAACATGATGCGTATATATATATATTTTATTATATATCGAAATTGCTAGAACAAATTATATATATATATATACATATAAAGATTATAATTTAGTATGTAATGATTCGTATATGTGTGCGTGCGTGTGTGGAAACAGGGAGAAAGAATTTCCATTTCCAACCGTTTTTTAATATTATATATATATATATATATATTATTAAAATTATATTTAATTAAATACAAAATATACACGACGAAGATATTATATATATTATTTATATTATAATACATGCGTATTGAAAACGAATGGGGGAAAAAAAAAATTTGACCTGTGACGCACGCAATTCCTTTATGTATGATTATTTATTCGTCGATAAGCACAACTTGACGTTGGCCGTGATCGTCTAGTGGTTAGGACATTGCGTTGTGGCCGCAATAACCCAGGTTCGAATCCTGGTCACGGCATTTTTTTTTTTTTAATTTTTAATTTTTTTTTTACGTAAGTAATTATTATTATTATTTATTTATAAATTTTTTTAAATTTAGGATTCGATTTTTTTTATAAGGTGTGATATAGAATTAAAATAACGACGATGACGAGTCGTGCAGTGTCGGTTTATTAATTATTGATCATTATATACATGTGAGAAATAGTTATTTAAATAAGTAATAATAATAATAATTTATTTATTTTATTATCAAATTTATAAATTGATAATAAAACAAGATGTCGCTTTATAAACGCGTAATTACATAAAATGTAATAATAAATAAATATCGACATATGATAAAGTGGCGACGCCTAGCGGTGGAAATTTAAAATTTGGCGGGGGTTTTTTTTTTTTTTTGATGCGAAAAATGAACATTGTAAAATAGCATAAAATCGAAATAAAGTATCAGGCAATGATAATGTCGCGATGGTTAGGCGTGAGCGGACACGAAATTTTAAATTTGTCGAGTTTAAGTTTTAATTTCATTAATGCAACGACGGTGGCGACGCCGTAAAAATTTAATTATTTTAAGGTAAACAAATAAATAAACGTAATTTTTTTTTTTTTTTACGATTATTATTATTATTATTATTACTATTAATAATAATAATTATTATTATTATTGATAATAATAATAATAATAATAATAATAATTAAAGTTTATTGAATAAAAACTATTACAACAAATTATAATGTATATGTATGTATATATATATGTATATATGTATAATATGAATACAAAAAATTATTATTATCATTATCACTATTATTATTATTATTATTATTATTATTATTATTATTATTTATATTTCAAAAGGAATTATTTGACTAGATAATTAATAAAAGTACAATTATCTAAGTGTGCTAAAACAATTTTTTTTTCTTTTTACACAAAAATTATTTAATATTACATAATAATAATAATAATAATAATAATAATAATAATAATAATAATAATATTTAATATTGTATAATATGTATAAGTAACATTTTTTTTTTAATTAGTACGGAAAATATATATTTAAAAAAAAAAAAAAAAAAAAAAGAAAAAGAAAAGTTACAATAAAATTTTCGAATGTATTTAACACGTCGAAAATTATCAATCAATCAATCAATCAATCATACAAAATTAATTCGGTATCGTTTTATTGCTTTTTATACATTTTTTCATAACGAATTAATCAATAATATTCTAAATAATAATAATAATGTAATAGAAAACGTCATAAATTCGCGTCATCATTTTTTTTATACATCGATACTCATTTGGTCTGGTGACACGTATACAAATGACACGACGACGCGTCTCACTCTCACGTGATTTTTCATTATTATTATTATTACTTACTGTGTGCATTATTATTATTATTTTTTTTTTTTTTTGGTGAACGGTATAGTGAAGAAGAATTTTTTTTTTTTTTGCTGTCGTTAAAACAAAAGGTAAGAAATTCATATTATTATTTTTTGGCGCGAAATAAAATTTGAAATTGGCACAATTTTTTTTTAATTTGTGACGTTTTAATTTTTTTTTTTTTAATGATAAATTTTTGAGCAACGCGATATATATAAAAATTCAATTTTTTTTTTTTGGTTCCGTTTCCGTTTCAGTCTTTCGATATTATATATATATATATGTGTATTTGTCGCAAACAACCGGAAGTTGTCTTCGATTTAACGTGTGTAAAAAAAAAAAAAAAATCGTGTCAAAAAATTTGTCGAAAATTGCTCAACGTATGCAGCAATGAAAACAGGGGAAAAAAATTTGTTTTTTTTTCTTCCGTTTGTTTGTTTGTTTGTTTGTTTGTCTGTTTTCCTGTTTGATATGGGTTAACGCGTAACATTTTTTTTTTTACGTTTATATTCAATACACACAATCTACTGACACTTAATTTTCCTAATTTTAATACATTTGTCAATTATATTTCACGTCTGGATCACTGGAAAAAGTTCAATGGGATAGAAAGAAAAATCAGAATCGCAAACACACAGAATCGGAGAAAATCAAAACGATTCTGCTGACACGAAAAATCGTAAATAATGGGGGGGGGGGAGAGAAAAACGAACGTTTAACTGACATTTTATACGAAGCTAAAATCAACTATCACGAACGGGAGGAGGAGGGGGAGGAGAGGAGGGAGGGGGAATAAAATTTTCACGTGGTACCAGACGAAAAAAAAAAAGTTTTCTTTGGTCAACATGTGAAATTCGTTGTTGTTGGTGATCATTTAAAAATTTGTGCGTGCAAATTTTTCAGTTTCCGTTACTTTTACACGTACGGATTTGTTCCATTCCTTTCCTATTTCCACGTCATTTTCCACGGTTCGACATTTCATCGTAAAAAAAAAAAAAAATTCAAATGTCGAGTGAAAAATTTTCTTTTAAATTTTTTCTCACTCATGGAACCGTGTTGTGAGCTGGAGATTTCGGAGTGTGAAATTTAAGTAATTCGGCAACCGTTATTGATACTCGTACCAATCCTCTTCCCTCCAGTACGTCCGATGCAAAACAAATCATGTTCTGGAAAATAAAAAGAAAAAAAAATTAAAATTAAAAAAAATTTACTTTCAATAAACTACGATTTAAATATTTATCCGCCATGTTTAAAAAAAAAAAAAACCGCCAAGTTACAATAACAAAGTAAGCAACGCCATCTTGACGGGAAAAAACGGAACCATTTTGTCGTCGTAATATGACGTCATAGGAAATCAATTCAAACGAATTGAAACAGTCGTTTGTAGTTCGTCGTTTCGATCAGTTTAAAATTTTTTTTTTTTTTTTGATTTTTTTTTTTTTTTTTTTTTTTATTAAATAATTTTAATAATTTTTATTTATTATAATATTTTAAAAAAAAAATAACTAACAATACTGTAAATTTATTATAAATAAACAAAAAATAAACAAATGAAAAAAAAAAAAAAAAATGCTGCCGTCGTGAGACAAGGTAAGAAATTTTTTTTTTTTTTTTTTTTTTCTCTTCAGTTAAAGGCAAAACAAACAAACAAACAAACAAACAATTAAATTTTTTTAAATATATTTTATTGCTTTTTTTCCGTTACAAAAAATTTTCAAAAAAAAAAAAAAAACCGCGAATCGCAGCCGTCGTGATTTTTTAAAAATTTTACAAGATTTTATTTATTATTTCGTTTAGGCTGCTGTCGGTCCTGCTGCGGTCAGGGATGGAAAAAAAGCAATAAAACGTCAAAATAGAAAAATAAAAATAAAAAAAATTAATTTTCTTCAAAATTTAAAAAAAAAAAAAAAATGTCTGACAATCAGATCATAGGAGATTAAAAAATTTTTTTAATGTAAATAATTCGTCTGAAATTGTTTAATAAAAGGAATGTTTTCTTTTATTTACTAATTCAAAATGGCGGTGACGGTTAGGAAAATGGAGAAAAAAACCGGTGGAAAAATAACAAGCGTGGATCAAAAAAGGAGAGAGATAGAGAGAGAGAAACAAAAAACTTTTCGCGAAACGAACGCGTTTACGCGCCAAAAAAAAAAATTTCAAATTCAGTCTTTTCTCTTCCTCCCCCTCCCCCTTCTCCTCCTTCCCCTCCCACTTCCCTTCATTTTCCGTTAAAAATTTTGAAATTGAAATAATCTCGGTTGAATTATTTATATTATTACGTCACAATTTTTTTCCCCGTCGCGTTTAAAAAAAATTTCCCTGCATTTTTTTTCCCCTTTCCCCGACTGAAGCAGGGAAAAAACGATTTTTTTTTCTTTTTGTCGGCAAATCGACGCGTTTCCGTTTTTTTTTTTTTTAAAATTGCAATAAACTTTACTTTCTTAACCCTATAACGACTCCCGCATACGTCACATAACCTTTTTAAACCTTTTTTAACCTTTAATATAAAAATAAACCTTTTCATATTTTAAAAAAAAAAAAAATTTATTTTATTGTCCGTTTCGTTTTTTTTTTTTTTAATTTTTTTTACTTTTTTTTTTTTAACGTCAACAAAAATAGAAAAATTATAAAAATCCGGGAGAGGGAAAGGGATAAAGGAAAAGGAAGTGACAAAAGCAAAATTTTAATTCAAAATGGCGCGAAAAAAAATAAATAGAAAAATTTAAATCCTCTCGAATTGAATTCGTTCGAAAACCCTACAAAAATAATAATAATAATACATGCATATATATATACAAGATCAAAATAAATTAAAAATGCAGACGAATTTTTTTTTTTTTTTTTTTTAATTTTCCCTTTCCGACATTTTGAATTTTCCCTCACGTTCGCCGGTTTTTTAAACCGAAAAACAAAAAAAAACGTTATAGAATGACGTCATCGTTAAAGAAAGGCGGCGATAGGCGAATTAGGAAAGGAAGGGGAAAAAAAAAATTTTTTTTTTGGCGGGAAATTTAAAAAAAAATTCAAATTTCGGAAAAGGGATGGGAAAAAAAAATGTCGGAGGTTTTTTTTTTCTCCTTCTTCTTCTTCTTGACTAGATATAAAAAAAAAAAATTAATAATAATAATAAATGCAAAAGAATATTTTAAATTCTGACTAGTTAAGCAGTCCATTATCAAACGGCCATTTTCCTTTTTCTTTTCCTTTTTAACTAAACTATTAAACTTTCTAAATAATAATAATAATAGTAATAATAATAATTTTCAAATGCAATAAACTTTTCTTTCTTTCTTTCTTTCTTTCTTTCCATTCCATTCTACTTTCTCTTTTTTCATTTCTTTTCTTTCTTTCTTTCTTTCTTTCCTTCCTTCTTCCATAGGCACATCACATCACATCAAAAAAAAAAAATTAAAGCAAACAAGTTTTCTGAATATCGTTTTCGATGGACATTATTATTATAGCCATATTTAAAACGTGGGCACGAAAAACATCACGAGTACGGTTATTATGAAACCGGCGAGACAAAGTACGGTCGATATGGTGCTGTCGTGGACTTCGGCAGGTTTTGGAGGTGGCAGAACATTTCCTGTCGCTATTAAAAGAGCCTCGACCGTCCGGAGGAGCTCCCCCACCCTCAGGGTTTCAACGACATCGTCGCAAGAACACAAGTCCTCCTGTAACACACACCCAATTCCCAAGAGTTAATTTCTTTTCTTTCTCTTTCTTCCATATGCATGATCCCTTTCTCTCACTCACTCACTCACCCTCTCTCTCTTTCGTACAGAAGCAAAATATACAAACGTCTAATGTATAGAAATAATAATAATAATAATAATGAAAAAGCTTGTGAGAAACAAAAAAAAAAAAAAAAGAAAAAAATTATTATTATTATTTTACACCGTAACTCGCATAATTAGTCAACATGCAGCCAACATCAACATTTCATCCTGCCACCTCTTAAACCGCTTTTTACAGAGAAAAATAAATAAAAAAAATTGAAAATAATAATAATAATGATAATATTTTAAAGCATTTTTTTTTACTCTCCTACCGTCACCAATCAATCTCATTTCTTTCTTTTTAAAGCTTTTTAAAAAAAAAAAAAAATAAAACTAAATAAACTCAACAGCAAAAAAATATATATATATATATATTTACAAAAATGACATCTGTACACGCACACACGCACACGCACACATGTATGCACTCACACGCACGCACGCACAAACGACTTTCGACACAAACGCAATCCGTTAGGTAGGAACCACAACGTGAAATTTACAATCTGGCGGGGCGAACGGAGGTGGGGTGGGAAGGGAGAGGTAGAAAGGTGGGGAAGGAGGGGAGGGAAGAGGAAGAGGAGGAGGAGGAAAAAAAGAAGGAAGACATTTTGTTTTTGTTACCAACTTCACCACCCAAAAAAAGAACTAAAAGCCCGGGAAGAATTTATTATTATTATTTTTTTTTTTTTGTTTTCATAGAGTAAATAAACCGTTTCTAGGTTATGGTTAGTAAAAAAAAAAAAAAAAATTATTTTCGATTCGTCCCCCACCCACACACGGTGTTATACATATATATGAAAAAATTTCATTTACATAGATAAACAAATGACGATTCGTATTGTTTTTCTTTTTTTAAATGGAAAATAGATTCGAAGAATGACGTTAATGACGTTAATGGCGTTTTTTTTTTTTAAAGTTTTCCTCTCTCTTTTCTCTCTTTTTTTTTTTTTTTTGAGAAAACAAAAAAAACAAAAAATAATAATAATTTATTACTACTCACTTCTTCGACTCCTATTTTCCTGCAAGCGTCCAAAAAATTATCAACGTTTCTGCGACATCGTGCCATCGTCAATTTAGGCTGAAATAAATAATAAAAACAATAAATTAAATTTCAAACGGAAACTCTTGTTGATTAATAATAATAATAATAATAATAATAATAATAATAATAATAATGATATTAATTACAAAAAACCAAAAAAGTATTTAAAAAAAAAAAAAAAATTCGTTCGTCAACCAATCAACTAACGTTTCATGCAAAAAAAATTTGACGTGACGTAACTTCTTTTTCCGGTTGTTAGTAAACAAAATAATAATAATAATAATATTAATTATATTTAGAGGTTGTTAACTACTCAGGCCAACTACTATCATTATGGTACGTATCATGGGAATAAGTTTTTTTTTTTTTTTTTTTTTTTTTTTGTTTTTGGATTATCGAAAATCTCGTTCCGACAAAAGGTTACATCAATAATAATAATAATAATAAAATCTAACCAAAAAAAAAAAAAAAAAAAAAATTATGCCCGAAATAATAGCATTCAAAAAAAAAAAAAAAAGGAAAAGGTTTATCATGAATTAATTCAAATTTTTTTTTTTAAAACGACAACATTAGAGGTAGTAGTAGTAGTAGTAGTAGTAGGTAGCTAACAGACTAACAACACTTTGGGCCCCTTACCGTTTGCGTATTGTCTTCGCTGTACTGTTTAACAAGAGAAAATAAAAAAATTAGATAAAATGATTTGGCAAAGCAGACGACATTTTTTTTTTTTTTTTTAAAAAGAAACAGAAAAGAAGAGGACGGACGGACGGACGAGACCTTTGAACTTTTTTTTTAGGCACGAGAAAGAAAGCGAATTCGAAATACATTTTACAAATAATAATAATAATAATGATGATGATAACTCACCACAGCAGGAGAAGGCACGTGAATGCTGGCAACGGATCGCGGTCTGACGTGATTAGCCAAATGACATAGCACGACTCCGTCCATTAGAGCAGGACCCATTTCCTCCGGCAATGACATTTTCAACCTACCTTCAATGTGCTAAAAATTAAATGACACGTCATCATTAGCATCATCATCATTATTAATTCCTAACGGAATCTCGAATTTAAAAATGTATATAACCAATCTCACATTTCTCAATTGTTCTATGAGCTCCGCTTCTTCTTTGGCTTTTTCAAATTCTCTCCTCATCGTGAAACTTAATTTATCCGCCGGAATATCCGTGTTCCATTTCATCGGTTTCGGCGAATTCGAATTCGTTCTAAATCTCGACATGCTGGAATTAATCGGACTCGCCATCATGTTCGATGTTTGCCTTCCTCCGGAAAGGGGAGACAAAGAAGGTTTCGACAGAGTTTCCGTCAGTAGGGTAGTCGTCGATCCCTTGACCGGTGAACTCGGTTTGACGTAACTCGGTATGGAACTCGTTTCGCCGTTCGCCAATGAATTACCGCCGTAATTTGAATTTCTACTCGGTATGACTTTTTGTATCGGTTTGTTGTTGCCATTCCCATTACTACTGCTATTATTATTATTATTATTCTTCGAATGATTGAATTGATTATTCAATGTTGACAAATCGTCGTTTGAATTTTCACTCGTGGGACTTTGATTCGCCCATTGTTGTCCTTCGTTTGAATATTTAATTTTGTATACGTCTTGAGTTTGAGCTCTCTGCAACCTTCGAGCCTCTTTGTACTCTCTGGAAATTAAGACGAATAAAAAATTAAAAAATTTTCTTTTGAGAAATTCATACGTTCGCGACTCGTATTTCCAACCTGTAAGTTTGAACGTGTTCGAGTTTTTTCTTGTCGTCGAAATTAAAATTGTTTCCTACAATGGGAGATGAATTATTGTAAACAGGTGATAACGTTTCCCCGTTTGTGCTTCCTTTGGTTGTCGATCTGAAACGAGATATAAGCGAACGATAAACAAATTTTTTACTAGCAGACGAATAATATCTTTGTCCAAATTCGTCCGTTCGGTTTTTCCTTACTTTTCTTTGGATTTATTTACAATCAATCCTCTATCGTTGGACTGGAGTCGAATCAATCTTTTAGCTTCTAATTGATCTTGGAAAAGAACCGTTCGATTGATTAATTCGTCGTCGTTGCTAAAAGATTCTCCGGGACTGATGGTCGATGGAGTTGAACACCCGCTGTGACTTCCGTTTATGTTTTCCAACCGATCCCCGTTGCTGTTGTTGTTGTTGCTCACTGGAATGCTTTCTGTTTTCAACTTTGTTTTATTTACACCGTCCCCACACTAAACAAAAACAATTAATTACAAACACTAACCAAACAAACCAAACAGGAAACAAAAAAAAAATTAACTCACTCTAAAATCTTGAGCCCATTTCGGATCGATTCCGTCAGACGTGCTGTAACCGCTGTCGACCGTGTGCCTTTTGACTCTCATTTCCGACGCCACACCGTTCGGATACCTTAAATCCGATTTTCTCTGATGATTCCTTTTACCCGTTGAATCATCGAAACCTCCTCCGCGTTTCTTGTCAGTCTTATTCACTTGAGTTTCGAGGAACTTGAATATATGAACGCGACCGCGCATGCATATCGTTGCCGGAGGTGATATGAGAGGATTATCGTTTAATTTCAACTGTTCCAAATACGTCATCAACCTCAGCTCGACCGGAAGTGACGAAATTCTATTTTCACTCATGTCTAATAATGTTAGTTTCAGGTACGTTAATTCTGTAATAAATAAATAAATAAATAAATCGGATACCTTAATAAAAATCCGCGTGCCACTTATTATTATTATTATCAAGCTCTTACCTATGGGTAACTCTTCCAACAGATTCTTTCTAAGATCGAGAGCTTTTAAACATTTTAACTGTCCTAAAGATTTCGGAAGGTAAGAGATCTCGTTGCAACTCGCATTTAATTCCATCAAATTTTTCATGCTTCCAATATCTCCCGGAAGGCTCGACAATTTATTATTCGTTATAAGAAGAACCTAGAAACCATAATAATAATAATTATCATCAAAGTAATAATCATAGGACATTTGGAAAAAAAAAAAAAAAAAAAAATGTTGGCAGCGCTTCTTTTTTCCCCCCCCCCCCAATCGTTCACAAATACTTTCTCGTTATACGTCATGCATCCCCCCCTCTCTCTCTCTCTCACACACTCTCTCTCAATTTTTCAATTAATTACGTCTCAATCATTTAATTTAAAAGAAATTTTTTAATTATTAAGTGATAATAATAATAATAATTACTTCCAAATATTCGAGCTGACACAATCCGGAAGGTATTGAACAAAGTTGATTCCTACTGAGATCCAAAAATTTGAGGTATTGCAAATTTCCAAGTCTGTCGGGGAGAGAGCGAAGAGCATTGTGATACAAATGAAGTTTTTCGATAAATAAAAAATCTAATATTTCCGTCGGAAGTTCCCAAAATTTGTTTTTCGAGAGATCTGGAATAAAAAGAAAAAAAAAAAAATTTATATACACGTATGACGTATATTATGACGTGACGAAACAAACTCGTGTGACGTCATAATCACACCCTAATAGAAAAATTTACTTTTTTTTTTTTTTTACAAGTTGGTACTACGACAATTTTTTTTTTTTTCCAGATGACGTTTTCGATGATTAGTTTTCTAAATTGAGCCATCAACCTTTTTAATGGTTTTTTTTTTTTTTTTTTTTTTAACCAAAGAAAATCAATCAATCATTGGTAAAAGTAAAAATTTATCGTCAAACCGTTATCGTTAATAATAATATTGCTTATCATTATTATCATTATCATTACTATTATTATTATTATTACTTCGCGCTTAAATATATTTAATTAATTTTATATCAAAGTTTTCTCTTCTTTCTCACCTTATTCTTTTCAAATGATTCAAAAAATCGATTTTTCTTTTTTTTTAACAAAAAAAAAATTTAAATTAAATTTCGATCGTAAATATCCCTTAATAAATCCTTGTTTTTGACCTTTACCGCCCCCTTCCCCCACTCCACCTCCCCACCACCGTTTAAAGTAATTTAATTTAATTTACATTAAAGTCGGCGACAGACTGGATTGTAACGGATTTTTCCTTTTTTTTTATTATTTGAAAATAAGGGACGATTTAAATTACGAGATTCTGTTATCATCATCATCATCATCATCATCATCGTCATTATCATCATTATTATTATTAATAAACTTTAGACCTAAACATAATTTAGCTTAGGAGAGCAATTAGAACCGCCCCATCCCTTTTAGCATTTTTCCATCATCGCTTTCGGATAATTTTCATACAATTCAAGCCACGATGATTTTAAATCTGCTGACACGATATAATTTTTTCAGAGGAAAAATACAACGAAAATTTAAAATATTATAATAGGACTCTTCGATCAATTTCCTTTTAACATTTTAATTTTTTAAAAAAATTTAAGAGTAATTAATTATTTCGTTAAAAATTTATTTTTTAGACGTTGAAAACATTTTTCATTTTCAAGGGGAAAACTTTTCTACCGTTTTTAACACCCATTTCCGGTTCTTTTTTCCTTCTCCTTCCCCTCCTCTTTTAGTCCAATTTCCGTTTGACCGCGTGTTTCTCACGGGATTATTTTTTGTCATTTTTCATCCCCATCTCCCACTCACCGCCATGTTCGAAAAAACAAAATAATAATAATGATGATAATAACAACAACAACGACAACAACGACAACAACAACAACAACAACAACGACAACAACAACAACGACGACAACGACAACAACTTTTCCGTTTAAACGTTTCGAGGGTGTTCGATTTATCGAACGAACGGAATCATTTCCAGACTTTCCCCCTCGCATACGGAAAACTCTTCGACATTTTCCAAAAATTAATAAAATGGCGTCTCACGTTTTTCCATCAAGATCATCATCATCATTATTATTTTTTTAATCTCGAAAAAAAAAGAAACGAAAACCACTACCGAATCCATATTTTTTTTTCACAAAAAAAAAAATTAATGATAGCCTTGCGTCGGTCGGATTTTAGGCTTTTCCTTTTATCAAATCTCTCATTGTGTGTGTGTGTGTGTGCGTGTGTGTGTGTATCATCCTTCCTTCTTTCCTTCCTTCAAACCGAATGAGTGTCCTTGTGCGTTTCCCTTCCATCCATAATAGGCATGGAATTCTTTTTAACTTCATTGCCTTCCATCTCGTCCTTTTATTTCTTATTTTCATACATACGAATCTTTTTTTCACGGCAGGTACTAACTACCAACGTACTCGCGCACGCGCACACGTACACGCGCGCGCCATTGACCTTTTTCACGAAACGAACGTGCACACGATATATAATTCTTAATAACACGACCATTTTAAATCGAAACGAAAAGTTTTTTACGTTACGGATAAAATTTTACTTTCTATATACATTAATCGTATCCGCACGCGCACGTCCTCCATTTTTTTTTTTGACGTAATCAAATTTACACGAACGAAATCTCGTAGATATCGATCGATATCGAATCGAACCACACAAACACACACGCGCGCGCGAGGGAAAATCGAACGTGTCGAAACGAACGTAGATTTCTACGTAAGCGAAACATTATTCATTTTCGATGATAATAATAATTATTATTATTATCATCATTAATTTCTCTTCACATTATTTCGTATTGTAAACTCGCAGATTTTTTTCTTTTTCCCCCCGAGCGGATTCTATGTGTGAAAAATTAATTTTTTAATGCGAATGAAAGGTGATCGATGGATCGATGTATCGATCGATTCATCGATCGTTATTTAATTTTATTTTTTTTTCCGTTTTCCTTTTCTCATTACGATTTTATAGTTTTTTAAACGTTTCGTGATGTTAATGTAAATGGAAAAATAATAATAATAATAATAATAATAATAATTTTTTTTTTCTTTTTCTAAACAAAATTTCGATGGCATTGTTGTGTGACGTTCGTCGTCTTATGTGGAAAGATTCCAAGTTTAACAAAGGAAAAATAAAATTAAAAAAAAAAAAACGTGATGACCGAGAGAGACAGAAAAAAAAATTATTTAACAAATCACGTATTTCCTCTCTCTTTCTCTCCTCGCTTATTAAGTCAAATTCTTCTATCATTCTTCCAATAATTCATAATCGATAATCGTTCACACTTTTTCTTTCATTTCTTTTATTTTTTTTTGGAATTACATCACGAATTAACAGTAGCGTTTACACGACTGGAGAAAAAAAAATGTCCGATTCGTCAAAGGTGATAATTTTTTCCAAAAAAAATATTACTTCCTTCCTTCTTTCACTTATTATGTCAACTGACGACTGACGACTTAAAAAGCCGAAAAGGAAAGGAAACATTTTTTTTTTCTTTTGTTTTCGTGTGAGTTTTTTTGACAATGATTCATCCGGACATGACGTTCTCGAATTTCAAACGTACCTTTATAGTATTATTTCAAGAAAAAACAAAGGAAAGTGTACGTTTGTGTTCCGGTCTCATTTCTTTAGCATTTGGATGATGGTGGTGGCGGCGGTGGCGGTGGTGTAAACCCTTTGGAGAAAAAAAATTTCTTTAAGAAACCATTTCCAGTTTCTTCGTCTGCGGTTTTTATTTTTCTTTCTCTCCAGTCACTCCATAATTCGTCGAATGTTCAATTTGGGACATCCGGATGATACACGTTCGCTCACGATTAACACACCTGTCTGCCATTATATTCCATCTGACCATCTGGATGTGTTTTGGTCTTGTTTTTACGAGCAGGTGGTGGTCGAAGAGTGTCTTCCTCCATTCGATTTCCCCTTGTGTTCTTTCCAATTTTTTCTTTTTTAATTTTGTTAAGGTTTCTTCCTCCTTCTTTCATTCAATTCGAATTGACGACAAACGACAAACAGTCAACAAAACACAAATTGCACAAATTATGTTTTTTAATGTTTTTTAATTAATTAAACAAAAAAAAAAAAAAAAAAAAAAAAAAAAGATGTCGATTTGTGTGATATACAAACAAACAAACAAACAAAACAAATATTTCGAACGTGACTTTAACGTTGTTTCACGAAAAACTTTTTGGTGAAATTCGAGATTTTTTCTTTTCTACTTCTTCTTCTTCTTCTTGACAAACAAAGACGATTTTAAAGGAAAAAAAATCCGATTTTTTTCAGTGAAATCATTCATTTTTATAAATCCCTGAGAAAACATTCATTCATTCATTCATTCATTCACGAATTCAAATAGACGTTTGATAGAAAGAACAAAACAAAACAAACCCACGTAAAATCAAAAAAAAATTGGTTTTCTGCTTTGTTTTGTTTTTTTTTTTTTTTTTACCATTTATAAGAAAAATCCCACAAACAAACGATCAACACCCCATGCGTACAAACAAACAAACAAAAAGAATGATGATGATGATGATGATGAGGATTCGTTGTATGAATCGACAAGAAAATTATTAATAATAATAATAATAATAATAATTCGTGGTGCGAATACATTTAAAAAGTCCAACAAAATTTTTCATGTTCCTCATATCGTGCAACATTTTAAAAGCAAACAACAAACAAGATTTTAATTTTTTCTTTTGATGACGTAGACGACGACGACCAGATGAGTGCGTGAGTGCGTGCGCGTTTCGACATACGACTAATGCAACTGTCATTAATTAAAACGAGGCACACAAAAACATCGGGCAATCATCATTTATGGCCTTAATAATAATAATAATAATAATAACTAAATAAAGTGGTGACACGCAAATAAATAAAAATAAAATGACGAAAAAAAAAAAAGTAGGTTTGCCAAGTCCTAACAAAGAACCAAAACTCGGTCCGATGTTAAAAGACAAAAAGCAGAAGACGAATCGAAAAAACAAAACAAAACAAAACTACAAGGGCATTGAATTTAACGAAGGGAATGCATAGTAGTCGTGGTAGTAGTGTCAGTGGCAGTAGTAAACGTTTTCGTGCTAATTTTAAACACTAAAAAAGCAATTACTGATCTAAAAATAAATTTTTTTTTTTTTTTTTTTTTTACTTTTTGGCGAAGCCTTAATTAACGCGGCGACGACGACGACGACGACTAAATTTCCCCCCCCCTCCCGCCACCTCGTTTTGACCGTTACTTGATTGGGAACAATTTCAAATAATAATAATAATAAGAAGTCGAGAGAGAAAAAAAAAAAATTTTTTTTTTTTGAAACTTTATTCTTGTCGTACGCGCGCGTCGTCTTACTTCCGGCAAATTCAACGTCCGGATAAATAAAATTAACCAAAACACATTTTTTTTTTCTTCCCTTCCGTTCTATCCGAACGAACGTAAAAATCCGAATAAATCACGTCTAAAAAATAATAATAATAATAATAATGATAATAATATTTTATTTAAACGAAATCAAAGCGTTTTTGGACGAA